AAATATAGATATGCAATATTGGAGATTTTACAAGAGTCGCGAATTCAGCTTTTGGAGCAGAGAGTCAGTACTTATGATGCCTTGATGAGTGGCAGAAAATGTTTGTTAAAATTGCACCTGCACTCAAAAGAAGAAATACCTGAAACAGAGCCCGGTGTTTCTTCTTTACGAGACGAAATCGAAATCCTTAGTATTTTGAATGCTGTTCCAGAACCGTGCCAAAACATAGTCCGCTTGCTTGGTTCCACCGTTGAAGCTCCTATGCACATGATAATAGAGAAAGCATCCAAAAATGATCTGTTGACGTATCTTCACGATTTCACGAAACCTCCTCAAGGTGAATTGCTGCTTTACATTGCTCTAGATATTTGCAATGCAATGATATTTCTCGGTGAAAACAATGTAATCCATCGCGATCTGTGTGCCAAGAGCTGTTTTGTTTTTGATCCAAACGGAAGTCTTGTCATCAAACTTGGCAACTTTCATCTTTCTTCTTCTCTTTCGCGGTCTCAAACTGATACCGATTCTCAGTCTAGTTCTATGAGATCATCCATCAAAGGTTATTCGGAAAATCAGTTTGCTGTGCGTTGGATGGCTGTTGAAGCACTTCGAGACGGTGAATTCAGTTTTGCATCTGATGTATGGTCATTTGGTGTGTTATTGTATGAGATTTTCACCTTTGGTTCGAAACCATACGTCAATATGCCAAACGGAATGTCTTTGGATATTGACGAGGAAGTGCGAGAATATGTAAGTATTTTGAAACATGAAAATAAACTACAATTAATTCTAAATATCTCTGTCCTGTCATCTCTTGAATATTATAGAAGTTGAAGAACTAAAGTCATACTTGCATGCACTTCAGTCAAAAAACTTTTGTATTCTGAATAAAAACAACTAAAATCCATATTACTGGGTTATGTGAAGAAACATTTCATAAAAACATATCACTTCCCTTCTGTAGGTCCTTGAGGGGAATAAACTTGAACTTCATCCAAAAATCCCTGACTCAATTCAGAATGTTATCCAGTCCACATTTACAAAAAAAGATGACAGACCAACATTTTCAGAACTGAACTCCCATTTGAGGGAAATTACTTTTGATGATGGTATGTCTTTAATTAGTTCAATCAAGTGCATTTGGGAAACACAGAGAAAACTCAAATGTCACCCCCTACCCCCTGCCACTCCCCACCTCTCCTCGCTGGACCCGTCACTTGATTAGTGATGATGTTAAGGCCACAACACTCTATACCGTATAGTACCACATTTGTCAGGGTAATTTATTAAGATATAAATTAATGATTGAGATGGTGCATAGCCCAATTAACACTTCAAACTATGCATATGAATTCTGCAGTGCAGTATTTTACGAAAAAGAATCTTATGGGTAAATATGACTAATTATAATATAAGTATGATATAACGAGCAATTTGATTGGCTACCGCGCGTGCATTGTGAGGCCATAATGCACGCTTCTGGCTTTGAAGTTTTTGTTGCTAGGCAACATCTTAAATAACATGTAAGGAGAATTTCATTATTGATCAAATAAATAAATTTTGTTGTTGCCCTATAATTTCTTCTTATATTAAAAGAATTAAAAAAGCTCGTCGCGTGCCTTTATGGTGTAATAATGCACTCGGGGAAATGTTGGAAGATTACTCGAGAAGCTTGTAAAACACTCGGCTACGCCTCGTGTTTTACAAGCTTCTCTCGTATTCTCCCAACATTCCCCATCGTGCATTATTACACCATAAAGGCACGCGACTCGTTTTTTAATTCTTAATTAATATAATAATTATTATGCAGGTAAGAGCTTTCGACTAATTTCTCACTTCATATTATAATGAACAACTTCCCTCAAGGCGCGACTGTGCAATTTATTGTAAACTCAACCCTGTAATGATTACACTATACCAGTCACGACATTTTCTTTTGGTTACTTCGGTATCTGATAATTTTTATACGAAGCCCTGCTATTTTAAATGCTCAGATAGCAATCTGATATAATGCTATCGGGCCGAAAGCAGCTGGTTTCATTTGCATATTTTGCAATCCATTTTCATTTTCTAAAAAATCAATATCGAATCTATACAAACGTCGCTTACAAGCCATACAAAATGAAATTTTTTTGCAAAGTTGGAAAGTATAAATTTAAGCTCAGTCGTTCATCCTGTAGACTAAGGAAATCTTTGAAATGAAGAGACCCTATAGATTTACGAACAAGAATAATTTTTCTCGTTGATAATGCGATAGATATAAATCTCAATTGGCCTACGTTAAACGATTTTCTCTTTTATAAAAAAAATTTACAGAGATATACATGGATCCGGTCCACTACAAAAAACTACATCACAGCTTGTCCAGTTTACGTGGTAAGTGGCTTTTTTGACGCCAAGTATAACATATACACTATTATACAAAGGGTTTCCATAGCAATGCAAAAAAGAGTACGTTCGACAAACAGGGTATACATCGCAGCTAGGTTAGACGTGCGCAATTTTTAGCGGCGGCCAGGTCAAAAGACATTCAGCTTATGTTCTTTATCTCTCATTTGATAGTGACAACGGAATAGAAAGTTGGAAGTCATATTTCTGGAATGATTGACCACAGTGATCATAATAAGTATAACTGACTCGATAATACAACAATAATATAAAAAGAATGACGACACTGGAGTCTGGAGTTAGCTATTAAGCCTATTATGTAGTAGGAATCCTTATATTTATGATGTTTTCGGGCTCCAGACTTTTACTATTACTATGTATAATGATACCTTGATTATATGGATTTACCGTACGTTTTTAGTCTAGTTACGATAACGTCCAGTAACGATATACTGACGATTACGTGATTATACGATTGCGGATTCAAGTTTAAAACATAGTTTCGAGTTCTGGAAACTTTCCATGATCTTGCAACAGATCAAAATTTCTCCCAGAAATTCGGGAAAACCGTAGGAACAGTATAACATTAATCTATATGTATCCATGCTTTATATATAGTTCTGATTTTTATTGATGTATCTTGGTGTTTAAAACGTATCACTGAATAATTGGATTCAATGTAAAGTCAACATAAAATAATCAAACTTACTTAATTGTCATAATCAGAAATTACTGACAAAATGTCTGTCGCTTGTGCACTAATTTGCATTTCACCATACATAATGATTCATTTTTTCACTAATGGACTTCGAATTTTACTAAAAAATACTCTGAGTGAAAGTATAAAACGTGTCTGCGCGCTGTTTGACGATCTCTAGATCGGAAGAGCAGCTTTTTAGAAAGGTTTTGCATGGTATCCGAATATTTTACCCTGCATGGGTATTTCTCCAACCGGCCAAATATAAAATACATTGCTCATCCTTTTCGCCGTGTTGTCTCAACGAACTTATAAATCGTTCACATTCATACGAACATTTTGATTCGGATAGTCGATGAATTGACGTGTAACCAAAAACTTTGTTTAAAATGTTATTCTTCTGTAGCTATTACTGATTTAAATTATACCCACTTCAAATTCAAGCCAGGAACAGTTGATGGAAAAATGAGTCACCTAAAGGTCCTCCGGCAGGAATCGAACCTACGCTAATCTACCAAGAGCATTGCACCGGCATCGCAAAAGCGTAGGTTCGATTCCTGCCGGAGGACCTTTAGTTGACTCATTTTTCCATCAACTGTCCCTGGCTTGAATTTGAAGTGTGTATAATTTCCACTCGAAATTAAGACCCTTTAAACCTGTCTAGTTTAGGTATGTTAATAGTTAATAATTACAGTTATAGAAAACGTTTTTCGAAAATTTAGGTATTAGTTTGAATTGAAGTATAGGAGTAATAGCAAACTAAGCTATTAGGCCGGTTTTCAGTTAGGAATTCAACTAACATGTCACTAATTAGTCAGAATAATAGCAGGCAATGATGTATGATAAAAATAGCGGGGCGTAAACTTGGAAGACACCGACTTGAGTGGGTGTACTGTGTATTCCTCAGTGATAGCGATTGTTTTCCGTGGTATCTCTCTTTGCACTATAGATTGTTGTCATATTTTGGTCGCTAACAGCTCTTATTCGCAAAATACTTCTTTTTCTTCTCTTCCTTGTGGTTTAAGAAGTATCTCAAGGAGAAAGTAAGTGTGTTGATTTTACGTTACCTGTTACCTAAACCGTGCACTTTGTGTTACAATAAAATACGGGTTTCATGCATATTCTACGCAGAATTCAATTTTGTATGCATGCAAGTTACCTCAAACACACCTTCAAAGGAATTTGAAAGAGTCTAATATTACTTCAATGTGTATCACAGCAGAACATTACCTCAGTATAGCAGCAGCAAAAGTGTAATGATAACCTTAGTGGAAACCTGGGAGTAAATAAACGTAAATATATGACCCGCAGACTTCTTGATTGAGATACATACTTAAAGGACATACTTAAAATGTACCATTTCACTGTGGAAATTTGATTTCCCATAAGCTTTCATGCAGGAATTCAAGGATACGGCTATCAGCATCATGTATACTGTACCAACTGTATTAACTGTAAAAACTTTAGGGAGTCAATAGAATAGTTAAATAATGAAGTCTTGCGCTCATGAGCGGCTTTTGGTAAGCATGAAATCCTAGAAGCATAGTTAACCAATTCCGCATAAAAAATAGTTACCAATTCCGTTTTGTCAACATCAAGACCGAGCTAACAAAATGTTAAATTGAAGGACTGCATTGGCATTCATCGTGTTCTTCCCTGCTGACTTATTTAAAAGCGATTGTTTTAAAGGTATGTGAACATAACATAAACATAATTTATGTGGCAATTATCACTCGTCCACTTTAAGAAACAGATATAAGGAAGGTACTAGATTAAGTTCCGAAATATCACCTATATAAGAGCTTACGACTTGCAAACGGAAGATCGCGGGTTGGAATCTCACCGTTTCAGCTTCTGCATTATCACTAATATCGTGGTACACAGTTACTCTCCCTGCTTAAGTATCGCTCTAAAATACTGACCAGTATAAAATTTATTATTTCATTACAGAAATTATGGCGGAGTCGAATGAAACAGGTGAATATCTTTTTACTATGAGAGAGCTCAAATACTTTGATACAGGTTATGTCAGTCGAAAACTAATCAATCAATAACATTTTTAGGCCATCGTGAAAAGTCGTTTCCGTATAATTACATAATTCTTCCTTTATAGAGTCTCTCCCACGCAAGTATTATCCTGACTTCTGATCCAGAGGGGGAGACTCGCGCGATAATTGGAGGGGGGGGGTGAATATTCATATCTGTTCTGTCCGACGAATTTCTTTTGTACGCTTATACGTGTTTTCAAAAATATATGTGAATATTCGCAGCCCCCTCTTGTATACTGATTAGTATTATTATTTACTTGTCAATTGGCGATTATATAATTTTTTTCGGTAATTATTGGCAATATAAATTATTTCAAAGTGCCACCTTCATGTTTCAGAAGGCCTGTTTCAGATGCCAAGTGCCTAATTATTTCAAGAAACGCAAGCTTTTCGCCTACATTGTGGCGGGTTTTTTGCTGAAAATGCCTTAAAACCCGTCACATTGAAATTTGTTGAGGAGATATTTTTTAGAACTTAAGCCAGGTAATCTTGCGCCAAGCTCGTAAAGCATTTTGCAACCAACTAGAAATCCATACCAGAGAGCGGATTTTGTTACTTATATTTTCACAGCAAATTTCAGCGATCGTTTTGGCATTTTTTGTTAATTACGGTGAAAGATTGATGGGATAAGACATAGTTGTCTTTTTGTAGATCTTCACTATATACTAGAAAAGCTATTGTTTCATTTGTTGGGTTTTACGGGAATCTGATTTTTTCGTCTTGTATTTGGTGTCAGATATTTGGCTTGTGAGAGAAAGAAAACTACCAATTCTAAATTTTGTTTATGTTCATGTTTCTAAACCCGTTATATTATATTAAATGAACGAATATGCTGTACAATGTCACGCCTTCGCTACAATACTTGAGAAAATACAAATGCTTTCGCTGCCCAAATCATTACCGAGATTTAGCACGAGGACGTGAACGTCAAAGAGGACGTGAAAATGTCGAATATAAATCGCGTGATGCGTTGATAATTATATATAGACATGCCACGCCATTTATTTGGCATATTCACCCCGACCTTGACGTTTACGTCCTCATGCTAAATCTCCCTACATTGTCGAAACTTTCCATGACTGTCCAGGTAGTAACGCGATTTCGTCAGCTCTTCAGAAAAGAGTTTCCGTGTAAAGTGTCTAGCAATCTTTTTTGCGCGAAGCGACATTTTACTTTTTTTTCAGAGCTCTCAAGTGCAACCATGCATTATGGAACAAATTGACCAATTACAAAAGAATAGCCGCTTCGCGCGACTCAGATCGCGAAATAGCTAAAGTATTAGTGGATAAATGAAATATTTTTTTTGTTTTAATTTTTAGCAGCGGACGCTATTTTACCTAAAGTGGTGCAATGCCAAATTGTAATGCAAAATATATGAGACAACGGATTTTTGCTAATTCTATTTAACCCTTACCTAGAGCGTCCAGAAGCATCTGAAGATAGCAACACCGGTCATTTTTCTCACGACATAAATAGCTACGCGGAGGTGAGTGCGTTTTGTATTCTAAGGTGTTCCTTTGTTCTTTTGAAAGTAAGAGTAGTTAATTAGTGTCACATATAATACTGTATTTTAGCGTGAAGCCTCCCACTTAGGACAACGCCAAGGTAATGTGCTGAAAACTGGTAATTTATATTTAATTTTTCTTTCATTCGTTTTGTTCGCTATTTCATCTCCTATTTAAAGCTCGTTTTCCACTCAGCAAATTATTTAGCCCGAACTGAGTTAAAGGTAGGAAGCTATCCTCCTTTTGTGCCATTGGTTTTACCCTAACTAACCACATCACTGGATATCAAATTTGGCTTTGCGTCAAATAAATTTGCCTAGTCGAAAACTAGCTTAACATATCCATACGTTAAGTAAGGTGATTTTCCCCTAACGTTAAAGGGAAGTAGTAACCAAAAGGGATTAATATCAACCTCTAATGTAAATACTCCTCTAACAATTTAATTGACAATACACGTTAACAGTATATCTCTGTCTGTCAACATTTGTCCTATATTGGATTATTATGTAGGTCATCGTCGTCATACTTCACAATCAAGACATCCCCACATATATACTACTCCTAATTCTGATAATCCTTCATACCATGGCCATGCACATGAAGTAAGTACCTACACGCAGTTTGTTTATTTTTTTGACCAATCAGATTCGTTCCTCAAACCGCATTTCATGTTCCGCATTGTGCCACGATATGTTTCGGCAAATAAGCAAAAGTTTTGCACATTTTTTGTACATTTTAATTTGTTTTTTAAAATATTTTTTATGCAATAATGTTGTTCGAGTATGTTTTCGTTTCCATTTAAAATATTGCTAGTGAATTTCGTATGTATGTTTCCATCACTGACTTATACTAGATATCTGGTATAGGTCAGTGCTTTCCATCCTTCTCAATGACTATATCCTATGCTTCGCGATCACTGACGTCACTGAACTCACAACGCAACTGGACTAAGTTTTATAATTATATGAGCATGAGTGTTGTATAGAGTTTTACGCCACCGAGAAAAATCGCATTTAAACACACGTTAAAATACGATATTTTTGAAACTGCGATATTTTTACGTGTAGAAATAATGTTATGCATATTAGTGAAATTATGTAAATATTAAAACTGTAGGCGTGTACAAAAGTCAGGACATTAACTTTTAGGTGTGGTTTTTACTTTTTCGATCGATTGTGAATAGCTAAACCATTTTCCAACGTCTGGTTGAACCGTCGTTCTACCATCCCGCCAGATTCATAGTGATACGGAGTCGTTCGTGTCTTATGAAGTGCTTCCTAGCAATCGGCAGACTTCTTGAAATGTTTCCGATTCAAAATTTCTCCCTTGATCAGAATGTAGTTCCATTGGAATTCCAAATCGAGCAAAGAATTCATCAAAACCTCTGCGACCGTTACGGCTCGATGGTGAGGAATTAGGAATACTTCCGGCCATTTTGTAAAATAGTCATGAGCTATTAGAATATACTGATTTTCAAAATCATTTTTTGGGAGCGGACCCAGCACATCTATCGCCATCCTTTCCATCGGAAAACCAACGTAATAAAATTTCAACAGACCCTCCCTCTTCTTGGATATCCTTTGCAGGACGCGCATTTTTCGCACCGTCTACACCAGTTCTCTATTTTCCATCTTAATTTCATCCTGTAAAAACGCTGTCGAACTTTTTTTTACTCGAAAAAGCCTTGCAGTGGGTAAATCCTCCGTCCAGGGACGGAATATTCCTTTCCTCTAGCTGACTAATTGTTGTGGGTGGGGCCTGCCGTCTACGATCGTAGATCGGTGCTTGGTGCACTATAATAAGCTCGGTCTCTCTAGCCACTCTCTGCCGTTGGCGGGCCGGGATGTTAAAGGATTTAAGCTCAAGGGCAGCTCCCCGAGCTCTTCGTAATGTTCGTGGTCTCTCTTGCTTTATTTGTTGCCGGGTATCTTCGTCAGGCAAAGCATCAACGGACTGATCCCGCGCAAGCACGTCACGCAACGTTGGTGTAGCATCAAGGTAAGAGAGCCTACTCAACCGTTCTATGTCCTCGGCCAATTCCGGTAATGATTCGTCGAAAGTTCCGTTTGATGACTTGTTCTAAACCGATTTTTCAAAGCCACCAGTACAACGTCAAGGTACTGGCGATCTTCCGGAACCAAATTCCCCAACACAGCCAAGGCAGCGCCTTTTAAACTGGTAGCTAAAAAAGCCGCCTTTTGATTATCGTTCTAGTTATTTAAGGTAGCCACTATTTCGAACTGCGCATAATGAGACTCCCACAAGCCCGTACCGTCAAATGAAGTTGGTTTCTGCACACGTTTACTGGAGTTTCCGACGTTCAGTGATTGCACGTTCGTTGAACTAAGGTGGCTCGCAAATTCGGTTTGCTGGACTGCAGGAATCTTGGGTAGAATGCGTCGTCTTTCGGATGGGTAGAATCGTAGACCTTGGGTAGAATCGTAGCTTCGGATTGCTAGGAAGCACTTCATAAGACACGAACGACTCCGTATCACTATGAATCTGGCGGGATGGTAGAACGACGGTTCAACCAGACGTTGGAAAATGGTTTAGCTATTCACAATCGATCGAAAAAGTAAAAACCACACCTAAAAGTTAATGTCCTGACTTTTGTACACGCCTACAGTTTTAATATTTACATAATTTCACTAATATGCATAACATTATTTCTACACGTAAAAATATCGTAGTTTTAAAAATATTGTATTTTAACGTGTGTTTAAATGCGATTTTTCTCGGTGGCGTAAAACTCTATATAATTTCTTTCTGCATTCGCCGTAACCTCTCCCAAATATTTCAACGCGATTTTCCAGAACGTCTAATCGAGCTTAGTAGCGTAGCCAGCCTGACAATTTGTCCCGCTATGCTAATATTTTGATGTTCATTGAGTGCGAAAACAATGAATTTCTAAAGATATGAATAATTATAATAACTCGAAATTTACACAGCGAGACAAAGTCGTCAGGCTGGCTACACCACTGATCACAGTTAATAGAATATGCATGGTTTGGAGACTAAATAAAAGTACAATACAACTCATTAACTCTGTTATTGTCCAGGTTTATGCAAAAAAGGTTCCTTTCTCGTCACGTGTCTATTGTATTTTAGCCAAACGTACCAATGGCATTCGTCTTGCTACGTTCCTCAACCTTGACTTGAAAAATATGTTAATTATAAGTTTGCTATTGGTTTATTTGTGTAAAATACAATAGGCACGTGATGAGAAAGGAACGATTTTTGCATAAATCTACCTCAACATAATTAATGAGTTGTATTGTAGTTCTATGTGGTCTCCAAACCATGTATATTCTATTAACTGTGCACTGATCGAGCTTCGAAATATTCCTCCTGTCTGACTTCTAAGCGATCCTGTCGTTTGCTAATTTCACCTAGTTTCTCATCAAACCACCGATCAAATGTCTTATTTGGTGCATTAGCTCTGCTTGCACCACTTTCTGTTCCACCACGAGATCCATCTGCTTCCCCAACATTGACGCCAAATCAGCAAAATTCGCATCACCCATCTAAGGTTGTTGTGGTTTTCGTTCAGCCGTATCTTCGATAATGAATGTTCTCTTCCTCGCTTACTCCAACTCGAGATCTCGTTTCCATAGGCATATCTTTCGGTATAAAATTCCACCGCTGCCACCAAATGTTGTGCCAAAGGAACAAGTAATTTGTTTAAAAGAGCTATATTTGTCTGCTATTCACAATCAATCGAAAAAGTAAAAACCACACCTAAAAGTTAATGTCCTGACTTTTGTACACGCCTACGGTTTCAATATTTACATAATTGCACTAATATGCATAACAATATCATATTCACAAGCCAATCAAAAACCGCGTATGAAATATGTTTGAACAATCAAAAAATCTTTCTAGCTCACAGTTTTTATTTCATACCATATTTATATTCAAGAGATTATAACTATGAGCTTTCAAGAGATTATAACTATGAGCGCATTTTACTGAACATTGTTATTTTTAATGTGTGCCCTTCAATACATTTTTTTTTCAAACTTTATGTTCCATTTTTCTAAGAAATGAGTGACCACTTTTACCACTTTATTTTGACCACTTTTTTCTAAATTACAGGGGATGTCACACGCTTTGGTCGCCACGCCCCTCTTTCTATACATTTTGTCTTCGAAACACTAAAACAGGACTAAACCATTTTACACGACCAGCAATTTTGGTCATGTTGTTTACTATTCTTGTCATCGTGTCTATTAGAATTTGAACTAATTAAAGTATTGCTTGTATGCGAAACTGCAAGATCAAGCGGTTTCACAGATTTTCTCGCTTCTTTGCCTTTAAGTAAAATCATAGACCATGAGGATGACACGAAATGTAGAAAAACTCCACAAGTGCTTGATTGATAATACTATATAGTACGAACATATGGCTGAATTGACTTATAACCTAGTTATAGTTCCCTTAATGATCAAACATCTGGATAACTACAATCCGCTATCAATGAAAGCATAGCCGGTGTCACTTTTTCAAATTTTTATATTTGGTTTATGTGTCCATTGCAACAATAAAGCGTACCACTAGGCGGTCAGACATCCTTGATTCGCCCTCAGAAAAATTGTTACACCAATATGGTGACTGTGTATAGATAATTGCCTAATTGGTGCTTTTTTGTAGAATACAAGTCGGAGCTACGTTGGGCAAGAGAGTTCATTAGACCTTTATGTCACAAGCGGGCGTCGAACAAAAAGGGGTGAGTCGAGAACCCATAAGGTGTTTACACATATCGTAGATAATATTATACACAGATACACTGATTAACTCATGTTGTAGTGTTTTATATTTTAAAAATTTAATATTCTACACCAATGAAAGCTCGCCATACAAAAGAATAGATAAATTATTGGCTTTCGATTCCGGCACGAAATGGTATTAACTAGGTTGTACTATTTTGCTGTATAGTATAACAAACCCTCTTCGCTCTGGTTAAAAAAAAACTGGTAAAAATCCTTTTGGTAAGCAAGATCAGACAGTGTGTAAATCTGGATTGCTAATAATTTTTTCTACGTACTATAGCACGTAAAAATTTAAAAACATATGATACTTATGAAATCAAGGATTGAATAGATGCATAGGGTTGGATTCTGTTGATGATTTGATGTGTTTTTTTCTGGCATAAAATTAATTATATATAAAAACTTTATAACAGAAAGTTTTAAGCTTTTACGCGCTTTTGGGTAAGTGCAATACACGCGACAGTGGAAAGCAGCCCAATTTAAGGACATCCGCCCTCTTTAATGATATCAAATGTCTTCTAATCTTAATCTTTTGTTTTAGAGGTCAGAAGCAGTAAAAGCAGCACAGAAAAGTTAATCGAGGAATTTGCAAAGTTAAAATGCGAGGAACGAGATGCAAAGGAAACCCACATCATTAATGATCTTTTGAAGAAATCTGATACTGAATCTCCAATATTAGATGGACAACTTGATGAGCTGGCAATGTTGGCCTGCTGTGACAGCTCTCGCGTAGTGAAAAGGGCGCTTGATGTTCTGCTAAATGAAATATTTTTAAACATTTCAGATTTATCGGTAGATCGTTGCAAAAACATATTGCAAGCGGAAGAAGCTCTTCGCTCGAAGTTTTTAGAGTTCATGAGAGTGGATCGATTTAAAGCAAAGTGCCATAGGATGACGACATACGCTTGGCTAATCACGTTAGTCCTTCTGAAGTTTGGCGAACAGGAATTTGCCAAACTCAAACCGAAGATAAAAATATTTGACCAAAGTTTAGTTACTCTCATGAAGCAAACAAGCAAGAACGAACAAAATCTTTACCGGTATGGCATTTGTCTTGCAAGAGAAAGTATCAAGCGAATTCTTCAGTCTTCTCCAAAACGGAACGTGAAGGAATCTCTCTTACTTAACATTGCAAAGTGTGCGAACCTTCTGAAGGGCAAATTAGACAAGGATGAAGTGACGAAGCTCGGAAAAGAACTCCATGATGCAGACAGCTGGTTGAATATTCATGTATGCCTTGTATTTCTGCAAGATTTACCCAAGGTATAGGTTGATAAACCTACTTTCTTCTGCTTAATAGATAAGAGGCATATATATCACTTCTTGTATAAACGTAAAGCTAAATAAATTTCGACTACAGAAAACTATATCTGTTATTTTACGAATATGTTACCGTTTCTCACGAATTGTCGCGTAAATTTCATATGCCCCGTTCCTTATATATCCTCCTATGAGTTTCGAAACAAGATTCTCAAGTATTTGTTCTATGATAAAGGTTTTCTTCATTTAGGGCCATGTATTTAGAAAATTTACCTTTTAAGTTGTTCTAAACGTCACCAGAAATTCAGGACATTAATTATCATAATACCAGGATTTGCAATCAAAGATGGCTGCCTTGTTATAATAGAATTATTTAGCGAGGACCAGAGCCAAATTTGAAATTAAAGCAACTTCTGTTTTACATATTTCAGTTGCGGAGTTCGATTTAAGACGGGCAGAAACTCAGTACTTTTATGACAATTTTTTCATATATTCAGCTCACAGTAATGTCATCTCAGCAACGCTTTAGCTCCTTGAAATATAATGGTTAGCAAGTTGCCGAAATGACATTACTGGGGAACCTGTTAAAGGTAAGATAAAAATATGAAACAATTGTCATAAAAGTACTGAGTTTCTGCCCGTCTTAAATTCAACTCCACAATTGCAATATGTAAGAATTTCAAATTTTGTGTCGTGCCTTGCATAATTCTATGATAACGAGGCAGCCATCTTTGATAGCGAAATCCTGGCAATATGAAGTCTTATGGTAATCAGTAATGTTCTGAATTTCTGGGTATGATTAATTCATAATTTCATCTAGCAGCTATGAATTGAAATGAAGGCTATATGCGACATGTATTTTTTTTACAAAATGCAGCATTATCATTTCAAAGACAACCCAAGACCTGTAATCTTAATGCAGATGTTGGTTGCAGACTATCGCGAGCGTTTCAGCTCAAGCAAATTCAAGAATTTCATTCGAAATCCAAGATCTGATTGTCTGTTTGAGCTGTTGGTTTATCGGGTTATGCTAAGGTTGATTACAACATCAAAAAGCAAAGGTTTATTACAAAACAAACATTTATTACGTTTTCTGAAAATCCAAGCATGCAGATTGGTTTAAACAAAACTGTTCGCGGCATGTTTCACTACTCAATGGAAAAAAATATTTGAATTAGTTGTATTAACAATCAGCCCTGTTCGTTCAAGATTAGACTTAAAATGCTAGTTTACTCTTTTTTGATAACTATATAGCATTTGCATTAGAGCTAAATAATTCACTTCATATACAAACATTACCTACCTGAAACCTTACAACAATAGCCTGATAGATACATTATAGACTGATTTATTCTAATTATATATCTTGGTATTCTTTTTTCAATTTTACAGCAATAATTGAACAAGTCTTAACCGGAGAACAAGGCTGCCGTGGAGTGTTTAGAAACTGGGAAGGCGATAAATCAATAATATCGCCCCTGGGTGAATTTGTGGCAAACCTTTGTGAGCAGTTGTGCGAGAGAGCGGTCTTCTTCTCAAAGCCCCAGAATATCAAAGAATTTCTTGATGGTAGGTGCATGGAACACTTATCCATTCTTCATTTGTGTTCGAGGTATAGAGATGAAATATTGGAGATTTTACAAATATCACGAGTTCAGCAATTGGAGCAACGTGTCAGTATTTATGATGCCTTGATGAGTGGCCAAAAATGCCTGTTGAAATTGCACCTGCATTCAAAGGAAGAGATGTTGGAAACGAAACCTGTTGCTGCCCCTCTGCGAAAAGAAATCGAAATCCTTGATCATCTACATGCTGTCAAAAAACCATGCGAAAACATAGTTCGCCTGCTTGGCTTAAGCACTGATTCTCCAATGCACATGATAATAGAGAGACCAACGAAAGGCGACCTATTGACGTACCTTCACGGTTTCATGCAACCACTTAATGTTGATGTACTGCTTCACATTGCCCAAGATATTTGCGAAGCTATGATCTTCCTCGGTGAGAACAATATAATCCATCGTGACCTGTGTGCCAGAAGCTGTTTTGTATTTGATAAAGAAACAAGCGGAAACGTCCTTGTCAAACTTGGCGACTTTCACTTTGCAGCATTTTCCGATTCGACTCAAGATTCTCAAGATCGATTTGCTGTTCGTTGGATGGCTGTTGAAGTACTTGGAGACGGCGAATTCAGCACTGCATCTGATGTATGGTCTTTTGATGTGCTATTGTTTGAGATTTTCACATTTGGTTCTGAACCATATATCAATATGCCTGACGGCAAGGCCTCGGATAATGACGAGGACTTTCGACAACATGTAAGTACCTTATATTAGCACGATGTCCAACAACTACTTCTCTACACTTCTTCGGAGACATAAGCCAACATTCAAACAGGGGTGGGATTATAAGTTGTGAAATATATTTGTCAAACTTGTAATTCACAGCTAGTTTATCTGCACGCCTATGTCTGAAGTGGAAAATCCTGGGTACGACAGGATTAAGCAAAAAACTTCTTAAAAACGTACACGCCTCCTTTTTGCAGATCCTTGACGGCAATAGAATTGAACTTCATTCAAAAATCCCTGATTCAATTCGAAAAATAATTCAGTCCACAATGAAAAAGAAAGATCACAGACCAACGTTTTTAGAATTGAAAACCCGTCTTAAGGAAATGAGATTTGATGATGGTATGTCCTTATTTTCTTGAAGAAGTAGGTTAGATTTAAAAAAATATTTAAAAATTCTAATAATTAATAATTCTTTTAAGTCTAAAAATGGAACAAAATGCCACCATAATTAAGATGGCTGCCTGCATCTTTTGTTTCACAATTCCCCGCGGGGCTTCCTCTGAAATGCGGCTATATATAAGATTAACCCCGATTGCACTATTCTGGATTCACTGCATTGGGACGAAATTGTCGTTTGCAATGGTCAGTAGCAAATGCTTGCTAGTTTGGCAGATTTAGTATGTTAGGTCTCCGACGGTGAAAATCCTTACAGAGCTTTTTAGAAAGCTTTTTAATATTCTGCGCATTCTACTCACTCCGAAAGCAATCCAAACAAGTGTAATTTGGGGAATTTAAATTGACTAAATCGAATTTGACTAAACTTGGGCTACATTCGATGAAATATTTTTTTGCCCTTTTATTTTTGCTTGGCAGAAACACCCTTCGTAAAACCTTTACGTTTTGCTGATCGGTTGATATTTTGTAATCACATTCATGACCAAAAATTAGATACAACATGGCGCGATGTATGAAAAGGCGCATTTATCCTGGTTATGCTAACATTTTGGTATATATTCATTGCGATAACAATGAGTTTTCAAATGAATAATTATGATTTATGATAACTTCCAAATTTGCATTAAGGTGTGTCGATACAGTTTCTCGAAATTTTTAGATGCATATTTTAAACAGTTATAAGAAGCATCTAAATGTTTCGATAGGAGTAAGGCTAAAAGTTAATGTACTTTGCAGGAAACACATCTAGAGCGCAAATGGCACCCGTTACCGTGGCAACAGAGACGTTTCAAAATGGCCGGCAAACAGAGTTTATTATAAATGCTTTATCGATAAAAAAAGTTTTAAAAAAATTCTGTAATGGCGATTTTTTTCTCATCAAGGCAAAATAACGTTGTCCACATAAAAAAATTCGCGCATCACAGAATTTTTTTAAAATTCTTCTATTATTATTCCTTTCAGTAAAATAATTCCATTTTATTTTTTTGTAAATCAGCAGCGGGCGGAATCCTAGCATTTCCTGCAATCTGATTGGCTGCAGCAGCGGGCGGAATTTTACGATATCTTGACCACGGTCCGCGGAATCCTGGCAAAATTTTAAAGTCAAGCTAGTTTGTTTTGGAAAAGGTTTTTAACAATGGATGATAGTTATCACTCGGAAAGCGAGTTTTATTATCTAGACGAGCTTGTAAATACCCTAGAAAATGTTAGCGAAAATGTAGAAGAAAACGTAAACATGGACGAAAGTGACGAAAGTTTTATGGACAAAATCGCACAATCGTTTTATCCCCACGACGTCCCCTCAATTTGACAAAAAAATAAATACGTTATTTACCGTTTAAGTCGGACCGGATAGAAAAATATTTTCCCTCGGCCTCAAAAACGTCCCTCGGCCTTCAGCCTCGGGCCGTTTTTGAGACCTCGGGAAAATATTTTTCTATCCGGACCTCCTAGCCGGTAAATAACATATATACATTATTATTTAAAGGTACATACATGTTTCCGGCCCACTGCAGAAAATTACTTCGCGCCTCATTCCGTGTACGTGGTAAGTATTTTTGCATATTCCTTTTTATTAAAAAACCCTTACTCTTAATTGAGTTCGACGAAGGAGAACGCTTTCGAACCGTGACGTCACGGCTGGATGTTATACATTTAATGATGTAATTGATGTTGTGTCATTTCGAGATTTTTGGATGTAACATTTGCCTCGCTTTCGTCTTTTTGCATATGCTCCGACTTCCGGGTTTTGTGCCGTGTTCTAATTTCACGTGCTTTCCGTATTTTGGCTTTTGGCTTTGATATTCGCCTGTTTATTAAGAAGTTGTAGGAGTTTATGTTTGCAATATGAGTCAGGATTCTTATCAAAGCATCAGGAATCTATCTCGCGATGTTCTAACCATGAGAAATCTGGAATATTATTTGCTCACAAAGTAAACAACTTTTAACAGCATGAATTTAACGGCAGACTTTTTCAATTGCTTCAAAATCGCCCGTTGTTTGCTATAACTTTCATTAAATCTTAGTATAAAAAATCACTATCCGCGGTAGATAGCGGTATCTGGCTTTCTTACAACCGGCCCCAGACAAATGCAAATATCATGATTTATGCCAACATCTGGGTTTCATTCATCATTATATAAAAGGCATTAACCTTTAATCGATATATATATATATATATATATATATATACAGTAGGAGGCAAAAGTTTGAGTCCAGTGACTGTATTTCTTTGTTTCAGCAGCATATATTAATATTCTACAGAAAACCTTACCGATAAGTGAACTAGAAAAAAGTAAACAAGTAAACAGAAAAATACATGCTGTACAACAACTATGAGATGTTATGATATTCATTTTTACGTATTTTAATGTGCAAACATGCATTTACATGTCATTGCTTAGTTCCCTCTTTTTTGCTCTTGAAATGACCTTTATTCTTGCTCGCATAGATTCCATAGGTTTTTTAATGTCACACGTTCAATACCTTGCCAGCATTCGTTGACCACTTGCCTCAAGTCAGCCTGGCTGGCGGGTCTGTGCCTCGCCCTCTTCCGGTTAAAACGGTTCTACAAGTGCTCCATAGGTTTTAGATCTGGAATATGAGGTGGAAAGCCATGACAACGAGATCACCAGAATGAGTTTGCTTCTAAACGATTTCTGGCACATAGAAGATGTGCATGTGCTTAGGGTGATTATCATGTAGTTAGACGTGCGATCATCTTTGTACCAGATGAAATTCCATGTCCTTGAAGAATTGGATGATACTTTTCTTTAATTAGGATCCTATTATATCTTTCAATATTGCCAAACCGAGCATGACCAAAGCAGCTAAAAGTTTGCTTGAGTAGGATTTAGTTTCTTCGAACCTCTCCAAGGTTAGTTGCATACCACCTTTTTAAATTCTCACTTCTTCTGCGATCTTACGAGGAAAGAATCCTTCAATACTTAATGGAACTATTTGTCCTTGTGCACCATCACTTTGCCCTTTTTCCTACCCATCTTGGGCAGTGTAAAGGAATGAGAACTTTATTTTGTTATAATTTAGATCATTAGGACCAAAACAGTGTGCAATTAATATAGTTTACAGTACTGAAACACTAGCACGCATGTCTTAACTCCAATACGCTGCCAGGATTTAATACTGGAATTCTACAACGACTGGACTCAAACTTTTGCCTCCTACTGTATATGTATAGGTTATCACATGAGGGGCGAGGTGATATCAGTTTTATCGCTTGAGGGACGATATCATAAATGTCACGAGTGAGCGCAGCGAACGAGGGACATTTATGATATCGTCCTGAAAGCGATAAAACTGATATCACCTCGTCTCGATTGTGATAACCTGTTTATCACATACTTCTTTTTGATCTATAAAGCAATCGACATTGACTGAAACAAACCTCGAACTGCTCGAGTCAGCCATCTTTGTTTTGACAGCGGCAAATGCAGCGGGACAAAAAGCGATATCAGTGACAAAAAGCGATATCAGTGACAAAAAGCGATATCAGTGACGATATCGTTTTTATGTCACCCTGTTATCGCCCTGATAAAGGCACAAGTATGTGATAAATATATATATATATATATATATATATATATATATATATATATATATATATATATATATATATATATATATATGATATGTGTTTTATATGTTCTTTCTACACAAGTATAACCAACCGGGCAAGCAGAAAAATATGTGTTTTATATGTTCTTTCTACACAAGTATAACCAACCGGGCAAGCAGAAAATTCTACTTGACCGCGGTGGGAATCGAACCCGCGACCTTCGCATTTCTAGAACGATGCTCTACCGTCTGAGCTACAAGGCCATATATATATATATATATATATATATATATATATATATATATATATATATATATATATAATATATATATATATATATTATATATATATATATATTATATATAATATATATATATATATATATATATATATATATATATATATATATATCTGTATTTCAATCAAGGGTATAAGAATTAAGTATTGCAAAATGTTTGGAGATTCCATCAACCTGTATGCAATTCGGAGTAAAAAAATATTAAAAAATTTTTTATGAAAATTACTGGGTTTTTTCTTCCTGAGATGGCGTATTGGCGCCTGTCACTATTCCATACAACGTTTGGGCTCTGAATGGTCGCGCAATTAGTTAGCAACTAATTTGGTGGTTCTGAAATTCTCTGTATATAAAGGAAATTGTGTTGTTCTTATGGATGACATAAATGCCTATACTGTCTTATCCCGCTGAAAATCGACTAAAATAAAAAAGAACAAACTTTTACTTCTCTTGCTTAAATCTCATAAGATTAACTTTCTAGCGAACTTGCGTATACAAACTGTTTCGTACCGCTATCACCGCACAGAACACTTTTTTTTCACATCATATATAGTCGCTGCAAAAGATTCAGACTAGATTCCTTTTCCACAAAAACATAATTCTTAGCCAGTGGAAAATATCGTTTAATATTTTAGGATCCTGATGTGTTATAAGCCGTTTTAATATTTTATAATCCTTTTGATCCAAGTAAAATAAGTGTCCCACTGTGTTTTCTTCTGTTTCTGAGAATAGGCTCGATGTTTTGTTGCAATTACCCATGACTCTTTCAATTCGCTGTAGATAAGCATAGATTATTCGAAAGGAAATCAAAAAATGGTGTTTTACCAATGCGGACAAATATCTAGCTTTAGTATCTAGCTTTCTCTCGCACCTTCCAAACAGTCATAAACGTCCGTTACATACAAGAATCTAGTTCCACAGATCTGAATCCTCAACGTCAAATTAATCGCACTGCTGTAGGGAAAATTAACACTTATATACTGCGAACGAAGGAAACATGTTTTGTGGACCCGAGACCTGAAATATCGATGGTCGAGGGTCCACAAAACATAATGTTTTCTGAGTTCTCGGTAAATAAGTTTTTTATTACATACCACTCGTCAAAGAAAAACCAAACTACAAGGTAAACAACGAAATATTTATAAAAGACATAGCTTCAAATGGATAAACAGTCAAAAGGTCGCACGTCCAGGTGCGCCGCGCGAGATTAAAGTTGTTATTTCCCATTAGATAACACGATAACATGATTTCACTCTGCAGGGGGGTAGCGCTGGCGACATCAAAATTTCGTCACTCTCGCGTGACTCGCTCTCGACCAATGAAATGCTACGAACACCAAACTTTAATAAATGGTATATAATAATGGATTTTTTTTGCTTGCCGGGAAGATTCTAACTTCCAATATTCCATTCGGAAATTTTAGCTTGGCTTAAAATGAAATGAGTATCTAATAAAATGAAATGCGCCGGCATGCTCTCCGTGGAACAATCTTATAATTCTTAATTCGTAAATATTTTCTTTTATAGAGAAAAGTGACACAAAGGACACCTGAACAATTGGTATAAATTGAGTCTACAATCCTTGTTGTCTAGCCTGACTTCTATAATTGCCGCCATGGGGATCGAGTATTTTTTTCAATAAACGAATGGCAAGCCATACTGTTTTACATTTACGCATACATATTACTGCATGTTGATTTACCTATATAGTATTAAAACTTATTCGTTTAGGGATTTTGATTGATTTAGAGACAATTTTTTTACGTGCCATGCAGGGGCGTATTGTGACTATCTTAACTGGGGGATCGAGTGGGGGTGCACCCCCCACGTTTTACCGTCATGTTTCTCACAACTCGTAAATAAGAGCAATACGCACAAACTAACCAACCCAAAAGAAATGGCCCCATTATGCAATTTAAATCGTAAATAGTAATGTTTCCAGTAACAGCATTAATAATAGTAGTAGTAATAGTAACAGTAACATAAATTCAAAATGTATCAATTATATGATAGCAATATACTTTTAACAAAACCAGATCCTACGATAATTGATTTACTACAACGTTTGCTTGGAAATTTTTTATTGGACAAATTGGGAAAAATGATTAGAAAGTCTTATTCTCATGTAAAGGAGGTGTATCACATGTTGTAACAAGTCTGAAAGCAAGTTGTCAACACGGCTTGTTCCAAGCTGTCGACACTGAGCATGGAACAACTTGTTAACAAGTTAACAGACAGAAATCGTTGCATTAAACTATTTCACGTACGCCTGTTTTTCTACAAATTGATAATTTAATAATCAATTCATCATGCAAAATTAATACTAACTGTTTTGTCTTTGTATACAGCGAAGGAAATACGCAGTATACGCAATCCATGTTCATGATGTATCAAAATATTTTAAGACGGAAACTGAAAAGTATGGGTACTTATAAAAAGATAATTCTCAGTATCACGCCCAACCTTATGATAGGGGATAGGTATTGATGGATATGTGATGGTTGACCTTCAGTAAAAGTTTGGGGTGATTGGGAAAAAGCCCCCGATCGAGTAGTGGCTCCGCGGATGAGGGACAAGTAAGAAGCAAATCGTTAAACAATCATTTAGCTTGTTTAAAATTGAGTACTTTTAAGTAAAAATGGCTTTGAATGATCGATGTAGGATTTGAATCAAGTCTTACACTTTCTTTTTAATACCTAATGACAACTCATCCACTGTACGCGTAAGTGTTTTTACCTTTTTTCTTTCAACATCATTTGATCTGAATGATCTCGTGCTCATGTTTTATCTAATCAGCGTTCCAAAGGGTTGAAGAGATAGAAATCCATTAATTCCGCAGTCTTTTAACCGATTATTTTTTGTTATTCTTTATGAAACTATTCGAAATTTTGAGATTATGTTTAGCTAAAAGAACTATAGTTCTGACATAAATTTAAAACTGAAATGAATTAGTATATTTTAGCCGAATCGTGCATGCCATCATGGATTCTTATTAGCCAACTTCCCGTTTTTTACCCCATTTCAGATCACTTGGAAGCCTTGTTTGCAACATATCTTTATCTAAATATAAATTATAGTAATCATGCATCGAGATAGGTTATTTTATAAGTTTGGTGCCAATATGAGCAATTCGATAATATTACGGGCATGGGGGATGCAAAGTGAAACAACCTTTTCAATTAGAAAGCAGATTATTAGCAAGAAGATTATTATATATAGCAAGTTTTAAAGTTTATCTGTTCCAGAATTTGATTTGTTAAAACTACGTCACGTGAAAGCAAGAAATCCGAATGTTTATAAACATTACCGAAATATACTGCATCTGGTTTGAACATGTAGTTTAATCAGGAGCTAATGCATTTGGGATAAAAGTTCAAAAGCATTTTCAAATCGTTTATTGAATATTAGTTTGAAATAAAGAAGCATGAAGAAGCGTCACGAGATGAAAGGAGCACTTGGTTTAAAGAAACTTTCCTAAACTCAAAACGCAAGCTGAGGCTTACTGAAGGTTGCAGTACGTTGCCTAATATATGTCGTAGTAGGTCACCTAAGTTGCAGTAAGTATTTTTACACAAATATTCCCCCAAATCGTCCTAAGTCGCACTAAAGCCTGATTTCCATTTGTAGACGTAATTGTCGTGATTAAGTCATTTTCACCGGCGAGAAATAGTCCGGTTGTAAATTTGTCTTTATTTCAGTATTCAAATCGGCCATTGTTGACACACAGCCACCTTGACATGTTCTGATGTTCACGACACTCATGAATAAATGAAAAACCAAGTCGCAGTGGTATAATGGTATAACGTACTTTGTATATTTGCTCTGCTATTCTGGCATTCTTCATGAAATTTTTGGGGGGCAAAACCCCCGCTAAATTGTCAAAGTAAGCTTGGTGGCACGTTCATACGAGCAAATAAAACTTGTCAAAGAAAAACTTGGTCATATAGAAAACTTGCTCGTCTTACTTCTATGTATAATGATACTTTGATGATGGATTTACTGTACGTTTTTAACATTAATCTATATTTATCCATGCTAAATATAGTTTTGATTTCTGTTGATGTATCTTGATGTTTAAAACGTATGCTGGCGACTTTAATGTAAAGTCAACATAAAATAATCAAACTTACTTGTCATCATCAGAAAATAGTGACAAAATTGCTGTGGCTTGTGCACTAGTTTGCATTTCACCATACATAATGGTATATGGATTCATTTTCTCACTAATGGCTTCGAATTCTACTAAAAAATACACTGAGTGAAAGTACAAAACGTGTATGTGCGCTGTTTGCCGACCTCTAGATCGGTAGAGCAACTGTTTAGAAACACTTTCGTATCCGAATATTTTACCCTGCGTATTTTTTCAACCGGCCAAATATAAAATACATCAAGCATTTGAAATAAAGCAAACATGTTTCGACTTAACTATTAGCCATCTTCAATGCGAATGAATTAGTTTACTTTATCAAATGTATGATCAAATATACAAAGTAGAAATATGATACAGGCGAGGTGATACTCGATGAATAACATAATTATTTACAACAATGATTGACAACATAACAGGATACAAGATATGCATAATAAGTAGAACAACATGACAGACAAAAATCATAACTGAAAAATAGTATTAAAATGCTGAACCTGTTTGTTAAGGTCTGGTTTGTAACTCTATAAGCATTTTGTACTTTTCTCATTAGCATTAATGCGCCTTATACAGGGTGTATAAAAAAAGGTAATCCAACTTCAACACGCTATTTAACGTGAACTACTCAGTCTATGAACGAATTTTTTTCACATTCGGAAAGATCAGGTTTTTAACTATCGGATGACATGTTTTTAATACCAAATGGTGAAAAAATGAGCACATACGAGGCTGATAAAAAATGTTAGTCGCAATCGCATATTTTCACCTTTGAGCCTATAATTAAAGCAGTGCATAACAAAAGAAAAAAAAATTATCACGAACATGTAACAGCTTGCACTGGTTTAATGCCGCATTGCTTGTAATGTTCTCCTGATATGATTTATTCCTAATTAATTTATTCAAAAGCAAAATTCTTTAATTAAGTGGCTTTGGCTTGATATTCACTTTTCCATTGGAAAGTGCTTTCAATTTTGTAATTTGTGCTTCAGAATCGAGTTTAATCGAATCGAGTTTAATCGAATCGAATTGAGTTTAATTATTGATGCTAATAATTGTATGACCTTTATGCGAATGTGTAATGTCAATAATGTGACCTCGTTTCTATTGAATCCGACATATAGCTAAAAACACCCGTTTTCTTCCTCTTTTCCGCAAACCATTACTATTATTAAATTTTCTATGTATCACATTAGCGAGAATATTATCGAAATATACCTTTCAGTTAGCTAAATTTTGAGCATATTTGGCTATAAATGCAGTTTGGTACTACAAGTACACTATAGTTTGATACTATAATATATTATAATTGTCTAAATGCGTCTGTCTCTAATGTGTCTGATCCTAAATCATACCTTCATTAACAGAATTTTTATCATAAGTTTAAATTGCAATTAGGGTGATAACATGTGTATACATGTCAACGCCATGCAATATTCGGTAAGATGTTTTTGTAATGAGTCTATGCTGTTGCCCTCAAATATTCAGCGTGTAACGTCTGCGCCTTCAACTGATGTGTACTTTTGGATAGATGGGTAAATGCTGTTCTAAATAACGTTTGAGATGATCGTATATATGCATGCGTGTGGAAGTTGCGCAAAGTTTAACTTTGCGCAACTGGCGTAGGAAGCAAGTTAAAGTTGGGGGGCACATGCTTTCAGGGGCACTTCCTCATAGAAAAAGGGCACCCTCAAAGTAATTCATTTTCGGTTGCCAAACAGAGCAATTCTTGTCTTGTCTTAAAAATATGAATTTAGTTTGGGTCTGCATTTCACATTTGTAATGCAAGCTACATTGAAACAGGAAATTCGTGGTATTTTCAAAAAGTGCCGCATGGTGCGCTGGACCATGTTGTATGCTATCTTATCATATAAGAAGAGTTTAAAATTTTAACATGAATTTTTAACAAGAAAATTTAGCAACTTTGAATATGTTATAACTTTGACCATATAAAATCTGTATTCGGTAACTTAGCAACAAGAAGACGTGATTTTCCGGTTTGGAAACTTTCGGTATTTGTGCTATTTTTATTGACATAAACGTCGCAATTGGCAAGTCGGGGTTCCTCGAAAAAATATTTAAAAGCTAGCGAATGCTGGAATCCTAAAAAAAACTTACTACATTCATTAATTTAGGCACAAACTCTCATAAGGGCATATTAGTTAGGTATGAAAAAGGGCACTTTCCGCCTTATAAAAAGGACACTTTTTCTCAGGGGTGGATCCAGCACTAGTGCACTAATTTGCATGACACAAGAAAACTGCTCAAAATAGCCATTTTGTTTTGTAATTCAAATTAGTGCACTAGTGCTGGATCCACCCCTGCTTTTTCTTATCTTCTTGAAAGTTGGGGGGCACGTGCCCCATTAAATAACTAAATTCTACTTTTGAATGATTGAAAACAGTTGAATGTGAGGTTAAAAAAGAGGTCAAATCTGAGGCCGAATCCGCAGCTAACTTCACAGTGATGATAAAAATTAGCGGGGCATGAACTTGTTGGACACCGACTTGAGTGAGTGTACGTGTATTCCTCAGTGATAGCGATTGTTTTCCGCGGTATCTGTCTGTTTGGACTATACATTGTTGTCATATTTTGGTCGCTAACAGCGCTTATTCGCAAAATACTTCTTTTTCATCTCTTCTTTGTGGTTTAAGAAGTGCCTCAAGGAGAAAGTAAGTGTGCTGATTTTACCATATCTGTTACTTAAACCGTGCACTTTGTGTTACAATAAAATACGGGTTTCATGCATATTCTACGCAGAATTCAATTTTGTATACATGCAAGTTCCTCAAGCACACCTTCAAAGGAATTTGAATTCGAACATAAGAATATTATGTACACGAAAAAATCATTCTGTGTACATACTTTAAAACCGACTAGAGTCTAATATTACTTGAATGTGGCTTCACAGCAGAACATTATACTGCAGAACATATAGCAGCAGCAAAAGTGTAATGATAACCTTAGTGGAAACCTGGAAGTAAATAAACGTAAATATATGACCCGCAGACTTTTTGATTGAGATACTTAAAATGTGCCATTTCACTGTGGAAATTTGATTTCCCATAAGCTTTCATGTAGGAATTCAAGGATACGGCTACCAGCCTCATCATGCATACTGTACCAACAGTAATAACTGTAATAACTGTATTAACTGTAAAAACTTTAGGGAGTCAATAAAATAGTTAAATTCATAATGAAGTCTTGCGCCCTTGAGCAAAACTTCGTTGGCTTTGGTTAAGCATGAAATTCTAGAAGGATTTTGTTTAATAAAGAAATAGTTACCAATTCCGTTTTGTCAACATCAAGACCGAACTAACAAGATGCTAAACTGATACTAAATTGAAGGAGTGCATTTGCATTTATTATGTTCTTTCCTACTGATTTCTTTTAAAAGCGATGGTTTTAACGGTATGTGAACATAACATAAACATATATGGCCATTATCACTCGTCCACTTTAAGATAAGGAAGGTACTAGATCAAGTTCCGAAATACAATAGTCCCTCGCCAACTCGAACTCGCTTCATCGAACTTCTCACTAACTCGAACTTAATTCAATTCCCCTTGGATTAGGTGATGTTCTTTATAGTATTTACTCCGCTTAACTCGAACTCCTCGCTAATTCGAATAAATTTTGTTTTCCCTTGATCGAATATATCCGGTTAACTTGAACTTTGGTTTCAAATCATAGATCAGCAAATTTCAAATATAACAGCAAACTTCAGTATAATGTTCGCCAATACACCGTATAGAAAAAGTACACCGTACACATTACTATAGAAACTATCGAAATAGTAACAATTTAATCGGGGTATAGTTGCATAAATGCATAATTATAAATTTTGAAAGATTATCTATAGTGCCACGATGACACGATCGTTATTGATCTAGCTTTTTCAGTAACATCTCTACACATAAACTTTAGTTTCTCTGCACACATAAACTTCAGTTAACTTTAATGTCCAGTTAACTTTTATGGTGTCGCTGATTAAAGAATCAGTATTTCATTGTTATATCAAGCTGGATTTTTTAGCAAATAAACGCATTAACTGCGGCAATCCAATATACGTAAATATAAACGTAACGTAACACCAACCCCGGTTAACTCGAAACCCCGGTAACTCGAACAATTTTTCTTATGACTAGCAAACGAAAGATCGCGGGCGATTGAATCCTACCGTGGCCAAGCTAATTTTTAAGCTTGAACGGTTGCTAACTGACACACCTGCGGCATATGCATGCACAGATGCACTATCAGTAATATTAATTGTGGAACACCGTTACTCTCCCTACTTAAGTATCGCTCTGAAATACTGACCAGTATAAACTTTAATATTTCTTTACAGAAATTATGGCCGAGTCGAATGAAACAGGTGAATATATTTTTACTATGAGGGAGCTCGATTACTTTAATACAGGTTATGTCAGTCGAAAAATAATCAATCAATAACCTTTTTCGGTCATTATGAAAAGCCGTTTCCGTATAATTACATAATTCCCCCTTTATAGAATCTCTCCCACGTAAGTATTATTCTGACTTCTGATCCAGAGGGGGAGCCTCGTGCGATAATTGGAGGATTCGGAGAGATTGAATATTCATATAATTATTCTGTTCTGTCCGACGAATTTCTTTTGTACGCATACGTGTTTTCAAAAAATAAATGAATATTCACCCCCCCCCCCCTCTATACTGATTATTATAATTATTTACTTGACAATTGGTAATTATATGAATTATTTCGGTGATTATTGGAAATATAAATGCCACTTTCATGTTTCAGAAGGCCTGTTTTAGATGCCAAGTGCCTGATTATGTTCACAAGAGCACAAGCTTTACGTGTACATTGTAACGGGGCCGGTTTTTGCTGAAAATGCCTTGAAACCCGTCAAATTGAAATTTGTTTGGGGAGAGATTTTTTAGAACTTAAGCCAGGTGATCTCGCACCAAGCTTGTAAAGCATTTTGCAACCAACTAAAAATTCATAGCAGAGAGCGTGTTTTGTTATTTATATTTTCACATGCAGCGAATTTCAGCTATGATTTCAGCGATCGATACAGCATTTTTTGTTTATTACGGAAAGATTGATGGCATAAGACATAGGCCTAGTTGTCTTTTTGTAGAACTTCATACTACTATATATATTAAAAAAGCTATTGTTTCATTTGTTTGTTGAGTTTTAGGGGAATCTGATTTTTTCGGCTTGTATTTAGTCTTGTATTCCGTAGCAATTATCCCCAAAACAGGGAGAAAGACAACTCCCAATTCTAAATTTTATTTATGTTCATGTTTCTAAACCCGTTATCATATTAAATGAACGAATATGCTGTACAATGTCTTGCCTGATAGCTTTTATACAAAACTCTGTGTCTCAGATTTAAAACAACTATCTGCCGCAGGCCTATAGCCAATACTTATTTTGAAACTGAAAAGATTTGTCCCCTTTGACGCCTTCGCTACAATATTTGAAAAAATACAAATGCTTTCGCTGCACAAAACATTGCGAAGATTTAGCACGAGGATCGACGAGAACGTCAAAGAGGACGTAAAAATGTCGAATATAAATGGCGTGATGCGTTTATAATTATATAGACATGCATGCCACGCCATTTATTCGGCATATTCTCCCAGACTTTGACGTTTACGTCCTCATGCTAAATCTCCCTATTGTCGAAACTTTCCCTGACTGGCCAGGCAGTAACGCGATTTTGTCAGCTCTTCAGGAAAGACCTCCATTTAAAGTGTCTGGCGATATTTTTGCGCGAAGCGACATTTTACTTTTGTTTAAGAGCTCTCAACTGCAACCATCTGGAACAAATTGACCAAATACAAAAGAATAAAGTCGCTTCGCGCGAAAAATATCGCTAGTGGAAAACCAGCTTTAGGGGCTGTTTACATGAGCCCGGGGCTACCCGGGATTCAACGAAGCGTGAGATAATTTTGAGGTATTGAAATGAGCAGATAACATGATCTTGGCAGTCATATAATCAGCACAACAATAGCATGTGCTCGTTTGGTGTAACAAAGACTTATTTCAATACCTCAAAGTTCTCTCACGCTTCGTTGAATCTCGGGTAACCGGGCTCATGTAAACAACCCCTTAGAAAACAATAAACTTCAGTATATTTTTACCTTCAGTATATTTTGCATCTGAAGATAGCAATACCGGTCATCTTTCTCACAACATAAATAGCTACGCGGAGGTGAGTGCGTTTTGTATTTTAAGGTTTCCTTTGTTCTTTTAAAAGTATAAGAGTAATTAATCAGTGTCATATATAATACTGCCTTTTAGTGTGAAGCCTCCCACTTAGGACAACGCCAAGGTAATGTGCTGAAAACTGATAATTTATAGTTAATTTTTCTTTCATTCATTTTGTTCGCTATTTTATTTCCTATTCAAAACCCGTTTTCCACTGAGCAAATTATTTAGCCCGAACTGAGTTAAAGGTAGGAAGCTATCCTACTTTTGCGCGATTGGTTTTACCCTAACCAATCACATCACCAGATATCAGATTTGGCTTTGCGTCGAGGGAGTAAATTGGCCTAATCGAACCCTGGCTTAACAGTTCGATACGTTGAGCTAGGTGATTTTCCTCTAACGTTAAAGGGGAGTAGAAACCAAAAGGGATTAATATTACACCAATTTTTATACCTCAAATGTAAATACTCCTGTAACGATTTAATTGAGAATGCACGATAACAGTATATTTTACCTAATATAACTAAAGAGTTTATTAAAGAATATGACCAATTTGCAATTGTTCCATTTCTTGTCCAGTTGAACGTCCAATGAAAAACTAACCGATTTGAAAACACTGTCTGTCAACATTTGTCCTATATTGGATTATTATGTAGGTGATCGTCGTCATACTTCACAATCAAGACATCCCCACATATATACTACTCCTAATTCTGATAATCCGTCATACCATACATATGAAGTAAGTACCTACACGCCGTTTGTTTATTTTTTTTTACCAATCAGATTCGTTCCCAAAACCACATTTCTTTTTTCGCATTGTGCCACGATATTTTTCGGCAAAAATAAGCAAAAGTTTTGCACATTTTTTCTACCTTTTCATTTGGTTCTTAAAATATTTTTTATGCAATAATGTTGTTAGAGTATCTAAAATTAATTTTTGATAATTTATTTGAGGAATTCTCGTTGTTTTCATTGTTGTGTATCTGTTAGAATTTGAACTAATTAAAGTATTGCTGGTATGCGAAACTTCAAGATCGAGCGTTTTCACAGATTTTCTCTCTGCTTTGTCTTTAAGTAAAATCATAAAAGATAAACAGTTAAGATTTACATTCATTTAGTTACATCATCCATGAGGATGACACGATATGTAGAAAAACTGCACGAGTACTTGGTTGGTAATACTAGAGTACGAACATATGGCTGAATTGACTTATAACCTAGTTACAGTTCCCTTAATGATCAAACATCTGGATAACTATAATCCGCTATCAATGAAAGCATAGCCGGTGTCACTTTTTTAAATTTTTATATTTGATTTAAGTATCCATTGCAATAATAAAGCGTACCACTAGGCAGTCAGACATCCTTCATTCGCCCTCAGAAAAATTGTTAGACCAATATATGGTGACTGTGTATAGATAGATGCCTAATTGGTGCTTTTTTGTAGAAAACAAGTCGGAGCTACGTTGGGCAAGAGAGTTCATTAGACCTTTATGTCACAAGCGGGCGTCAAACAAAAAGGGGTGAGTCGAAAACCCATAAGGTGTTTACACATATCGTAGATATATATATTTTACACAGATTCACTGATTAACCTATGTTGTAGTGTTTTATATTTTAAAAATTTAATATTCTACACCAATGAATGCTCGCCATACAAAAGAATAAATAAATTATTGGCTTTCGATTCCAGCACGAAATGGTATTAACTAGGCTGTATAATTTTGCTGTATAATTTTGCTGTATAATATAGTGAACCCTCTTCGCTCTGCTTAAAAAAAATGGAAAAAATTTCATTTGGTAAACAAGATCAGAGCTGTATGTAAATCTAATTAAAACTGGATTGCTAACAATTTTTTCTACGTACTATAGCACGTAAAAATTTAAAAACATATGATACTTCTGAAATCAAGGATTGAATAGATGCATAGGGTTGGATTCTGTTGATGATTTCGTGTGTTTTTTTCTGGCGTAAAATTAATTATATAACAATTATATCACAGAAAGTTTTAAGCTTTTACGCGCTTTTTGGTAAGTGCAAAACACGCGACAGTGGAAAGCAGACCAATTTAAGGACATCCTCTTTAATGATATCAAATGACTTCTAATCTTAATCTTTTGCTTTAGAGGTCAGAAGCAGTAAAAGCAGCACAGAAAAGTTAATCGAGGAATTTACAATGTTAAAATGCGAGGAACGAGATGCAAAGGAAACCTACATCATAAATGACCTTTTGAGGAAATCTGATACTGAATCTCCAATGTTGGATGGACAACTTGATGAGCTGGCAATGTTGGCCTGCTGTGACAGCTCTCGCGTAGTGAAAAGGGCGCTTGATGTTCTGCTAAATGAAATATTTTTAAACATTTCAGATTTATCGGTAGATCGTTGTAAAAACATATTGCAAGCGGAAGAAGCTCTTCGTTCGAAGTTTTTAGAGTTCATGAGAGTGGATCGATTTAAAGCAAAGTGCCATAGGATGACGACATACGCTTGGCTAATCACGTTAGTCCTTCTGAAGTTTGACGAACAGGAATTTGCCAAACTCAAACCAAAGATAAAAATATTTGACCAAAGTTTAGTTACTCTCATGAAGCAAACAGGCAAGAACGAACAAAATCTTTACCGGTATGGCATTTGTCTTGCAAGAGAAAGTATCAAGCGAATTCTTCAGTCTTCTCCAAAACGGAACGTGAAGGAATCTAATCTTACTTAACATTGCAAAGTGTGCGAACCTTCTGAAGGGCAAATTAGACAAGGATGAAGTGACGAAGCTCGGAAAAGAACTCAATGATGCAGACAGCTGGTTGAATATTCATGTATGCCTTGTATTTCTGCAAGATTTACCCAAGGTATAGGTTGATAAACCTAGCTACTTTCTTCTGCTTAATAGATAAGAGGCATATATATCACTTCTTGTATAAACGTAGAGCTAAATAAATTTCGACTATAGAAAACAATATCTGCATGCGATTTTACGAATGTGTTACCGTTTCTCACTAATTGTCGCGTAAATTTTATATGCCCCGTATCTTATTTTCCTGAGTTTTGAAACAAGATTCTCAAAGTATTTGTTCTATAATAAAGGTTATCTTCATTTAAAGCCATGTATTTAGAAAATTTACCTTTTAAATTGTTCTAAACATCACCAGAAATTCAGGACATTAAATCATTAATTATCATAATACCAGGATTTTGCAATCAAAGATGGCTGCCTTGTTATAATAGAATTACGAGACAAAATTTGAAATAAAGAAACTTCTATCGTAAATATTGCAGTTGCGGAGTTCGATTTATGATGGGCAGAAACTCAGTACTTTTATGACAATTTTTTCATATATTCAGCTCACAGTAATGTCATCTCAGCAACGCTTTAGCTCCTTGAAATATAATGGTTAGCAAGTTGCCGAAATGACATTACTGGGGAACCTGTTAAAGGTAAGATTAAAAATGAAAAAATTGTCATAACAGTACTGAGTTTCTGTCCGTCTTAAATCGAACTCCGCAACTGCAATATGTAAAATAGAAGTTGCTTTAATTTTTAATTTTTGTCTCCTGGCTTATATAATTCTATTATAAAAAGGCAGCCATCTTTGATTGCGAAATCCTGCCATTATGAACTTTTATGGTAATTAATGTTCTGAATTTCTGGTTATGATTAATTCATAATTTTATTTAGCAGCTACGAATTGAAATAAAGGCTATATGCGACATGTATTTTTTTTACAATGCAGCATTATCATTTCAAAGACAACCCAAGACCTGTGATCTTAATGCAGATGTTGGTTGCAGACTATCGCGAGCGTTCCAGCTCAAGCAAATTCAAGAATTTCATACGAAATCCAAGATCTGATTGTCTGTTTGAGCTGTTGGTTTATCGGGTGATGCTTAGGTTGATTACAACATCAAAAAGCAAAGGTAGTATTAGCATTTATTACGTTTTCTGAAAATCCTAGCAGATTGGTTTAAACAAACCTGAAACCTTAAAACAATAGCCTGATGGATACATTAGACTGATTTATTCCAATTATATATCTCGGTATTCTTTTTCAATTTTACAGCAATAATTGAACAAGTCTTAACCGGAGATCAAGGCTGCCGTGGAGTTTTTAGAAACTGGGAAGGCGATAAATCAATGACATCGCCCCTGGGTGAATTTGTGGCAAACCTTTGTGAGCAATTGTGCGAGAGAGCGGTCTTCTTCTCAACGCCCCAGAATATCAAAGAATTTCTTGATGGTAGGTGCATCGAACACTTATCCATTCTTCATTTATGTTTGAGGTATAGAGATGAAATATTGGAGATTTTACAAATATCACGAATTCTGCAATTGGAGCAACGCGTCAGTATTTATGATGCCTTGATGAGTGGCCAAAAATGCCTGTTGAAATTGCACCTGCATTCAAAGGAAGAAATGTTGGAAACGAAACCTGTTGCTGCCCCTCTGCGAGAAGAAATCGAAATCCTTGATCACTTGCATGCTGTCAAAGAACCGTGCGAAAACATAGTTCGCCTGCTTGGCTTAAGCACTGATTCTCCAATGCACATGATAATAGAGAGACCAACGAAAGGCGACCTATTGACGTACCTTCACGGTTTCACGCAACCACTTAAAGTTGATGTTCTGCTTCACATTGCCCAAAATATTTGCAAAGCTATGATCTTCCTCGGTGAAAACAATATAATCCATCGTGGCCTGTGTGCCAGAAGCTGTTTTGTATTTGATAAAGAAACAAGCGGAAACGTCCTTGTCAAACTTGGCGACTTTCGCTTTGCAGCATTTTCCGATTCGCCTCAAGATAAAGATTCTCAAATTCAATTTGCTGTTCGTTGGATGGCTGTTGAAGTACTTGGAGACGGCGAATTCAGCGTTGCATCTGATGTATGGTCTTTTGGTGTCCTATTGTTTGAGATTTTCACATTTGGTTCTGAACCATATATCAATATGCCTGACGGCAAGGCCTCGGATAATGACGAGGACTTTCGACTACATGTAAGTACCTTATATTAGCACGATGTCCAACAACTACCTCTCTACACTTCTTCGGAAACATAAGCCAACATTCAAACAGGGGTGGAATTATAAGTTGAGAAATATATTTGTCAAACTTGAAACTGAATTCACAGCTAGTTCATCTGCACGCCTAAGTCTGGAATGGAAAACCCTGGGTGCGACAGGATTAATTAAAAACTTCTTAAAAACGTACACGCCTCCTTCTTGCAGGTCCTTGATGGCAATAGAATTGAACTTGATTCAAAAATCCCTGATTCAATTCGAAAAATGATTCAGTCCACAATGAAAAAGAAAGATCACAGACCAACGTTTTTTGAATTGAAAACCGGTCTCAAGGAAATGAGATTTGATGATGGTATGTTCTTATTTTCTTGAAGAAGTAGGTTAGATTTAAAAAAATATTAAAAAATTCTAATAATTAATAATTCTTTTAAATCTAAAAATGTAACAAAATGCCACCTTAATTAAGATGGCTGCCTGCATTTCACAATTCCCCGCGGGGCTTCCTCTGAAATGCGGCTATATATAAGATTAACCCCGATTGCACTATTCTGGATTCACTGGGGACGAAATTGTCGTTTGCAATGGTCAGTAGCAAATGCCTGCTAGTTTGGCAGACTTGGTATGTTAGGTCTCTGACGTTGAAAATCCTTGCAACTTTTTAATATTCTGCACATTCTACTCACTCCGAAAGCAATCTAACGAATGTAATCTGGGGTATTGAAATTGACTCGATCGAATTTAATGAAACTGGGGTTACATTTGATGAAATATTTTTTTAACTTATTAATTTTGCTTGGCAGAAACACCTTGAAAATTAGATACAACATGGCGCGATGTATGAAAAGGCGCATTTAATTAGTCTTATTCACACAGTAAAATCGCCTGAAAACCTATCCTGCATGGTTATGCTAATATTTTGGTGTATATTGACTGCGATAACAATGAGTTTTCAAATGAATAATTATGATTTATAGTAACTTCCAAATTTGAATTAAGGTGTGCCGATACAGTTTCTCGAAATTTTTAGATGCTTATTTTAGAAAGGGATAAGAAGCGTCTAAATGTTTTGATATAGAAGGATTAAGGCTAAAAGTTAATATACTTTGCAGGAAACATATCTAGAGCGCAAATGTATTCAGAACTTGTGTCTGGCACCCGTTATCGTGGCAACAGAGACGTTTCAAAATGGCCGCGAAACAGAGTTTATTATAGATGCTTTATCGATTAAAAAAATCTGTAATGGGGACTTTTTAAATAGAATTTTTTTTAAGAATTCTCCTATTATTATTCCTTTCAGTAAAATAATTCCATTACATTATTATTTAAAGGTACATACATGTATCCGGCCCACTACAGAAAATTACCTCGCGCCTCATTTCGTGTACGTGGTAAGTATTTTTGGATATTCCTTTTTATTAAAAAAACCCTAGCTCATAATTGAATTCGAGGAAGGAGAACGCCTCCTAATCGTGACGTCACGGCTGGATGTTATGAGTTCAATGATGTAATTGATGTTATGTCATTTCGAGATTTTTGGATGTAACATTTGCCTCGCTTTCGTCTTTTTGCGTATGCTCCGACTTTCGGGTTTTGTGCCGTCTCCTAATTTCACGTGCTTTCCGTATTTTGCGATAATGCGCTTTTGTTTAGGACCGGGCTTTCGGCTTTGATATTCACCTGTTTATTAGAAGTTGTCGGAATTATATGTTTGCAATATGAGTGAGGATTCTTATCGAAGCATCAGGGGCCGGTTGTATGAAAGCCGGATAGCGCTATCCACCGGATAGTGTTTTTTTCAATCGCTTTTAAATCACCTGTTGTTAGGTATAACTTTGATTAAATCTTAGTATTCCTAAGTCGATGATCCTCTTTAATAATATTTAGTTCCAAAGCTGAGATTTTATAGCTTTTCAAGCATTTTTAGAACGGTTGAAAAAATCACCATCCGGTGGATAGCGCTATCCGGCTTGCATACAACCGGCCCCAGGAATCTATCTAGCGATGTTTTAACCATGAGAAATCCGGAATATTATTTGTTCACAAAGTAAACAACGTTTACTTCTTGAAGAATTTCACAGCAGACTTTAATTCGCATTGCCTTGAGGATTTAGATCCACATCAAGGATAACTATAGCCGACCACCGAACGCACTTGCTAATCTTATTTACATGACAACTGTAATTTTATATCGTCCCGACCTCCGCCATGAAATCAGTATGTTGCTAAAAGACCTGGGGCCAGTTGGATGAAAACAGGATATACTGTTTTTTCAATAGCTTTAAAATCGCCCGTTGTTTGCTATAACATTGCCATTTTTGGAACGGTTAAAAAAATCACTATCCGCAGTGGATAGCGGTATCTGGCTTTCATACAACCGGCCCCAGACAATTGCAGATATCATAATTATGCCAACATCTGGGTTTCATTCATCATTATATAAAAGGCATTAACCTGTAATCGATATTACATCTCTGTATCTCAATCAACGGTGTAAGATAAATTAAGTATTGCAAAATGGTTTGAGATTCCATCAACCTGTATGCAATTCGGAGTAAAAAGATATAAAAAAAACTTTTGGAAAATACCGGCTTTTTTTCTTCCTAAGATTGCCGCCTGTCACTATTCCATTTATAACGTTTGGGCTTTGAATGGTCGCGCTTATAGTTAGCAACTAATTTTGTGGTTCTGAAACTCTCTGTAGATGGAGGAAATTGTGTTGTTTTTATAGATGATATAAATGGCTATACCGTCTTATCCCGCTGGAAAATCGACAATAGAAAAGAATAAACGTCTACTTCTCTTGCATAAATCTCATCTTAACTTTCTAGCGAGCTTGCGTATACAAACTGTTTCGTACCGTTATCACCGCACGGTACACTTTTTTCACAGCATATATATAGTCGCTGCAAAAAATTCAGACTAGATTCCTATTACCACAAAGACATCATTCTTAGCCAGTGGAAGATATCGTTTAATATTTTAGGATCATGATGTGTTATAAGTTGTTTTAATCCAAGTAAAATAAGTGTCACTCTGTGTCCTCTGCTGTTTCTTAGAATAGGATGGATGTTTTGTAGCAATTACCCATCACTCGTCCAACTCGCTGTAGATACGCATTTCCATAGATTATTCGAAGGGAAATCAGAAACTGCTGTTTTCCGTAAACCCACCAATGCGGACAAATATGTATCTAGCTTTCTCTCGCACCATCCGACCAGTCATAAACGTCCGTTACAAGAAACTAGTTTCACAGATCTAAATCCTTAAAATCTAATTAATCGCACTGCTATAGGCAAAATTTCACTTATTTACTGCTAACGAAGGAAACATTATGTTTTGTGGACCCGAGGCCTGAAATGAGGGTCCACAAAACATAACGTTTTCTAGCTGGGTTCTCGATAAATACGTTTTTTTATTATATACCACTTGTCAAAGAAAAACCAAACTACAATTAAGGTGCATGAACAACGAAATATCTATTCATAAAAGACATAATTTCAAATGGATAAATAGTCAAAAAGTCGCACGTCCAGGTGCGCCGCGCGTGATTAAAGTTGTTATTTCCCATGAGATAACACGTTATCTCACTCTGCAGGGGGTCGCGCTGGCGACATCAAAATTTCGTCACTCTCGCATGATTCGCTCTCGACCAATGAAATGCTACAAACACCAAACTTTGACAAGTGGTATGTAATAATAGATTTTGTTTGCTTGTCGGGAAGATTCTCGCTTCCAATATTCCATTCGGAAATTCTAGCTTGGCATTCTTTGCCCTCGGCCCTGCTCGTCGATCTGTATCTAATAAGATGAAATGTGCATGCCCTCCGTGGAACAATCTTAATCATAGCTAATTTTAAGAATTTTTTATCACTGCACATATCATCACAATAGTATAGTGGAGAGGGGAGGCATGATAAAAATGGTCCTAACTGGAAATTGGTAATTTAAAGATGGGGAATTGTAGGGGTCTGCAGGACCTCTGCAGGACCTCTTGCTTTCTGTATTTTTGAGTATGGGTTTTTGAGTAGGTATGATCTTAATTCGTAAATATTTTCTTTTATAGAGAAAAGTGACACAAAGAACACTTGAACAATTGGTATAAATTGAGTCTACAATCTTTGTTGTCTAGCCTGACTTCTATAATTGCCGCCATGGGGATCGAGTATTTTTTTCAATAAACGAATGGCAAGCCATACTGTTTTACATTTACGCATACATATAACTGCATGTTGATTTACCTATATAGTATTAAAACCTATTCGTTTGCCGATTTTGATGAATTTAGAGGCAATTTTTTTACATGCCATGCAGGGGCGAAGTGTGACTATATCTTAACTGGCAACCGCCACGTTTTACCGTCATCTTTTCACAACTCGTCTTTCAAGAACAATACGCACCAACCAACCAACCCAAAAGAAATGGCCCCATTATGCTAATTAAATTGTAAATAGTAATGTTTCCAAACATTGTAACAAATTCAAAATGTACTATTCGTTATTGGGATTTATTATGGACACGAATTTGATAGCATTATCGCATCGTAATGTAGCACAATAAGTTGTAGAATCGATAATTAAGAAATTATGAAGCTCGAAAAGCAATCCCTGAGACCAAGGAATGTTCGCAGCAGTAAAGAGTGATAACGGTGCTCCTATACAATCAACTCCTAAATGAACGACAGATTGAATGAGTATGAGAAAATAACAAATCTTGTTCTTCAGTTGAGTTGATTTAAGAATTGTCATGACAAGAAGATTTGGTGCACCATTGCTATCAGGTTCAGTATAAGACGGTTGAGATCACTAACAGGCCATTGATTGATGACAATGGCTGCTACGCGGCTCATTTCGTATTCACAGGATGAAAATCCTGTTGCAAACCATTGCGTCCTTCCAAAGACGACGCATGTTACGATGGAAGAATCTGAGACTTTCATTTTCACGAACGCTAATGATCGCTAAAAGCAAAACACCGAATCGCGGAGACAGCAAATCACCGGCTCACAGATGAGGGTATGCATCATGTATTTATATTGTACACATGCAGGTGCCTCGTGAGACTAAAACGGCTGCAAATATTAGCCTTTCTATACGCTTACTTTCCTTGTAAAGCTTTTCGTCATATTATTAGTAATCATAGCTACATACAGTATGCTGGTATTAACATCCGGTGATTAAGGCTGACTTCGAATGTATAAATCACTTTTTTCTCGCTCGATAGAAGTTCGGTACTAACACTTTACTTTACTTACTTTATGATTACCGGCAAATAGGCCCCCGTACTGCCCCACATATACCAAATAATTTTACTAGAAACACGTGCATGCAAATACTGAAGCAAGAAAAATATATTTCCATCATTGAAATAATGTAATACTTGTTTCTGCTAATGATCGAAGGCGTATAAGTAAAATTCTATATCAAGTACAATTATAAAGTCGACTCGAGCTATCAAATTTAAGTATAACTATAATATATTAATTATGCTACGAACAGTTTTACTACTAAAATTTTTAGCCAAATTTCAATTACTTTTTGAACAGATTCACCTTTAAAAATAAATGCTTTCCCAATAAAAATAATTTCAACGAAATTGACGAATAAATTCAAAGAGGTGTATACATTTGTTGATAAATTTTTTTATTTTTTTATAGTCACAACTTTATTGCATAACAATACCCAAGCGGCAAGAGTGCGAACGGGACCCATGCGAGGCAACTCTCCCGTACAGCGCATTACACAAACACACACACACATGTTTATCTTTGAGTCAGTAAGGTGAAAAAAAGGCAGGTCTGTAAAGTTATTCATCCATACAGCTTTATAAGATCACAGGCGTAACAATTTATTTTCAAATCAGTTCTATTTCGTCTTAATTGCAAGCCATTTATATGACTGAAGTATTTCATAGGTATATTGCCCAAGGATAGGTAGATGCGTAGGAAACGTGCGCAATGCAAAAATGCGGAAATGCCTTGCAACCTAAATCGATCATAATTATCTTCAATTAAATTTCACTGTAAAAAGCTGCTTTGTGAATTTCTTTATCTGCAGCAACTTTGGTTATCTGTTTGAAACGGAGAGACGTTTAAAAACACGCATCTTTGATCTAGTTCAGGTGAATCGTTACCTACTGCGGGTAAGTGGGTTAAAAATTCTATTACGTAACAGGAGTAAAACTTCAGGATTCATATCTCAGAGCGATGAACTCTGACGTTAATTGCTTTGGTGTATTCTGTGAAAGACAGTACATTGTGAAACCCTGCATAAAGGAGAGCAATAATATAATCTGCACTTTGAACTAATTTACACTAAAGGTCTAATCTGATTCTTAGGCGTACGTTGTACACTCAATATGGCTTGTTTCATGGTTCATGATATTCAACAAGACAAGTCCTTCGCGGCTAGGTGTATAATTTCAAACTGGTCTTTGATATTAGCTACATATGTGTACCTTACGGCTGTGCTTACAGTAAACTCTAATGTGGAGATTGGTTACTAACCGGCTTAATTATCGGAACGTTATTTTTTCTTGATATGCTTGTCGCATTAATATTTTTTTATATAAAAACGCAGTTGAAACCAAAGCTTAAATATAAAGTGGTAATTCATAGATTTCTCATCTTGCCTATCAGGAAGATTGCCCGTCGGTAAATTAATTAACAGAATAAGCTAGTCATTGCATGTCTCCGTTAAGTTCACTTTAATTCTGTTTTTATCGCAGCTTTCTATATCTATACCATTGCATTTCACATACATCATATTTATTGTATTCACCCGGGCCCGAAATGAAAAGCTTAATTTTCAGAAAGGCTGAAGGTCACCACTGCCATATTTATCGTCTTTAATCATCGCCATCAAGCGATCAAAATCGATGGCTCTTAAAGTTCCTACGCTTTAAACCACCAGGTAATTTAGTTAGGTCTACCCAATATTTAATCGCATTTAGACAATAACTCCACAAACTACTAACGAAGAAATATGCATCCAATCATTCTAATAAATTTGCCATCAGGTATATTACTGACATATCGAGTTACTAGACTATACGCGTGTAATGTCTCCATAAATATTTTTACGTTCTACAACAAAAATAATTGATGGAGTGACTACTAAATAACTATCAATACCAATGCAAACTATCAATTAAGGGGAATCAATGTAAATAAAGGAATTAATATAATCAAAATGTACGCACAAGTCACATTTGGTCATGAAATACATGAATTCGACGTTGCGCACTAATATTAGAGAAATTTAGCAAACACGACGTGGCGTCTAAGACGTCGCCGTTTTAGCGCGAGCGATCTGGGACTAGGACGCCACCACGTCGTAAACTATTTGTGATTTAGCAAGAGGTTGATATACGCGTTTAGTCGGTTTGGAATATTCCTTTGGAACTTTTTATTCACAACTTTGGAATATGTATTTATCAGGTGAGTTTCTTCATCTTTTTTAGATCTAGATTAAGACGTGAAATAGAAAGGTTGCTCTCAGGGTGAAGGCAATAGATTATTTTCAACTTCGAATGCTCAAAGACGGTTGTTTAATTTTCAAACTCAAATTTCGCGAATATCACGTATGTTTTATTGCAGTGAAAATCGCAGTCAAAAATTGCTTTAATATTTGTAAAATGTCTGGCTATGGTTTGCAAAGCTTTCGCGAATACTTAAATCTTGCTTACATTAACGACTTGGTGGACTTTGACGATTTTATTTATTTGCATATCGCAAACCAATCAAAATCAATTTATCCGTATTGGAAATTTGATGAGTTTAATAACTTTAATTTGGAGAATCTAGATGACACACAGTGTCATACAGAATTGCGCTTCAGAAAGAGTGATATCCCAATCCGCTTAAATTGCCTCAACATCCCCGAAAAAATTGTTTGCTGCCAAAGAACAACATGCACTGGTTTGGAAGGTTTGTGCATCCTTTTGAAGAGATTGGCTTATCCTTGTCGGTATACAGATATGGTTGGCATGTTTGGACGAAACCCAACTGAAATTTGCCTTATTTTCAACACGGTACTAAATTTTGTGTATAACACACATCATCATCGCCTTGAAAGCTGGGAGCAACCATTTCTATCACCTGAAAATCTTTCTGCTTATGCTGATAGCATTCATACCCATGGGTCCCCACTTCCAAACTGTTTCGGATTTGTTGATGGAACAGTACGAAGGATAGCTAGGCCGATTGTAAATCAACGAGGCATGTATAATGGCCACAAGCGAACCCATGGCATGAAATTTCAGAGTGTTGTGGTGCCAAATGGCTTGATTGCCAATCTTTCTGGGCCTTATGAGGGCAGATGGCATGACAGCACAATGTTGTACCAGTCTGGACTTCTACAGTCACTAGATCAACATGCATTTCATGGTGATCTGCCACTCTGTCTTTATGGTGACCCAGCGTATCCTTTGGGCGTTCACCTTCAAGGTCCATTTAAAGACCGACAGCTAACTCCCTATATGCAAATGTTTAACAAAGCCATGAGCACTGTTCGTGTGTCAGTAGAGTGGATGTTTGGGAGCATCAGCAATTACTTTTCATTCATTGACATGAAAAAACAGCAAAAAATTAACATGAGTGCCATTGGCAAGATGTATATTGTGTGTGCATTGCTACAAAATGCACATACTTGCTTATATGGAAACATTATTTCAAGTTATTTTGAGCTTTCACCACCAAGTTTGGAACAATATTTTTCGTAAAAAGAACATATCATTATAGACATTGATGTATATGAATTGTTAAAAAGTGGTATTCTGCTTTAATTTTTCTTAAAGCAATATTTTACAAATTTTAATATGTTACAAATTACTTTTAAAAATAGTATAACATTGGAAACATTTCATCCACATATAAGTGTGATGCAGAATTAGTGAGAATATGTTGTTATCATTCAATTATTTAACAATTTAAAAAATAATTTACACCTTATAATAAAACTGAACTTTGCAAAGATATTTTCAAAAATTATTTTAATTGTTGTTTGACTGTCTGAAAAGCTCAAGAATTAGCTCAGTCTGTCTTTGCTGCTGTTCCATCATCCGTACCATGTTTTCCTGCATTGCAGCAAATTGCTGTACTTGTTGTTGTTGTTGTTGCTGTTGCTGATGTATTGTACTGAGCAGCTGCTGTTCA